AAGTGTGAATGGGTTGCTGTGAATTTTCTGGGCTGTATGCATTCACATCTGCCTCTCTCTTTGCATAGTGAGGCTGGATGCATACATTTTAAATGGTCTTTTTGTATACTATGTCAGGGATGAGGCAACAGCTGCATGTATCTACATGCACGTGAAGGAAGTCGTAGCAGTAAAAAGTTGAGAACTGCTGACCTGAAGATGCCTGGTATTTTTTGGCTGACCCTGCTTAACTTCCAAGATCAGAGAGGATATGGTGCCCTTGGGGCATTTCCGCCCATAAGGAGGTAATAAACTCTACTACAAATACAGTAAAGAAGGAAAACTCTGGAATGATCATCAACAAAAAGCCTTTTAAAAATATTTTAACATTTGCATTAATAAAATAAGTAAGACCAAACTTTTTAAACAAGAAAACCAAAAGTTCTTTTAAAGGGGCAAACGGGGTGAGAGAACTCATTAGGTTGTTGTCCCTGATGCTGCAAAAAACAAAAAAACAAAAACAAAACACACAGCCAAGATGGTTTGCTTTAGCTAGAAATCAATGCAGAATACTGAACAGCAAGTCCCTCCTTCATTAATACCAAAGGCCTCAATTCTAAATGTGTTAGAGGTTTGTGAAGAATGCTAAAGGCGGCTGGGTGGACAGGATAACTGGAAACATTTTTAGATGTCAGAAACCACAATGTATAATGTTACCAATCAGGGCTTCCCAGAAAGCAGCATATTTGAAATAGAAAGCAGGAGCCAAACTCCCCACACTGTAAATGAAATTTGAGTGTTAGCATGCTCTCTGAGAGAAAGAAGTAAGCAGATTTTTGAAGAGGGGCAGGGTTGGCTATTTGGAAAAGTGAACACAGTAAAGCCTAATTTCCTTACAACAGGGATTAGCACTTGCACTACACAGGCAACCTAGACCTCCTGAGGACAGTACTTCATTCCAGTCAACTTCTAATCCCCTTCCTCATCCCCATCCCCCACCCCCAGTTTCTTCTTTGGGAAGAATCTGAAAGATAGCTGAGAAGAGTTATGTGGTTTTGTGTGCTTGTCTCTACTCTCTTGAATGGAAAAGCCATTTGGGCTTGGAATCAAAAACAGTAGAGAGGGGGTGGACTTAAGCAGCTGTAGGAACCACTTGATCATCTATGATGAAGGGTTCCCTCCCCCCTTTTTTTATTCCTCCTAGGATAGTGTTGCCAAAGTAACCAGTCCAGTTTCGGAAAGCAGCCAAAACTGAGTTTAGACTTGTTGCTTTGGAGATGGTGACGTAGGCACACCAACAGACCTTGCAGAGTTGTTGATAATTCAGCTGCCAATGCCTCTATGACCCCTGGCTGACAAAGACTTTGTTTGGCCAGAAGGGATCTCCCAGTGGAGTGAAGTATTTTCCAGCAAGGAAACTGATAATACCTTTTCAGCTTCAGATTGAAAATCTGAGCCATAGAAGAAGTCAGAAGATTGCAAATCTTTTGAGATGAAAATTTATGAATCCGTCTAGCTCTGATATGAGGCCAGCTTGAGAGAACTTTCACATCCATATTTACTTTTTAGTCTAGTTAGTCTCCCCACAGGATAGATATATTTTCTTTAGCCTCTAGGTATTGGGGAAGGCAAAAAATGCAGCAATCAAAGCAACCTTTCTGGAAATGTCTTTTCCCATTTTCTAGAAATAGGTTACAATGCTTCAGAAACAGAACACAGCCAAACTGTAATTCCTGTTTGTTCAAGCCTTAGATGCTGGTAGCTGGGCCAGATGTGTTATGCTCCTCCCATCCCACTCTCCTGGCATGGAAAATTGCATAGCAAACTCTTTTGCTTTGCATTCAAGCCAAGGTTAGCCTTGTTTTGCTGATACCACAATTCAGAGAACAGCTGGAGCCAGAAAGTACCTCTTGGAACTAACCACCATGGTTACTAAACTGCAACCATTACCATGACCCCGAAGAAAGGGACAGCTGCAAAATGAAGCCTTTTAGAGGACTTAACCAGAGATGGAGTCTACAATAAGATTTTCTACAATAAGCAGGATAAGCATATATGACATTCACTTTGGGGTGAGAGAGAAAGAATGCATAGTTAATTTCTGACTTCTAGTTTTCTAGAGATCATGGGCTTTCTTTAAAACTCTTTGTTTTCAATTCCAAGCACTGGATCATTTTGGCAAGCCCAACTTTTGGTATCCCCACAGTCAGCAACGATGAGGACCAACAGAGGAATGTAAAATGTAAAACAATGTGATTTTACAGAAGGGGCTAGGAAAGTACCATACTGGGAATACAGAAGCTTTACCTCTTAAGAGAGATTTAAACAATGCCTTTTAGGATGGAGCATTCCCTGATGCACAAACCCCTAGTGTATTACAAGTGTACCAAACTATTTAAGACACAGAATAATTTTTAAAGAGATATTGACACCAGACTCCAAAGTAAAAAAGTTTTAAAAATCCGGATTGCAATTTATCCATAAAATACAGACAAATTATAAGTTTTAAGGTCCAGTTTAAAAACAATGCAGAGAAAGCCACATATATTTGTTGTGGGACAGAATTGCAGACATGTAGGTCCATGACTAAAATGCCCCCTTCTCTTTCCCAAATGGACCCGGATGGCAGCCTCATGGGCAGCCTTATTGAAGCTGATCTTCCCAGCCCACATAACTTGGTATTTATCCGGATTAAGTTCTGCTTCTTTGCCTTCTAGATCCCTTTATAAGTTCACTGAGTTAAATAGGCAAAAAAATAACATGTCATCTACACAATACTTTACACAACACCTCTAGATGACTCATCTTAGCAAGTTCATAGAGAGACATGTGAGGCAGGGAAATATGAAACCCAATGACATCATAAAAGACCTATGACAACATAGTAGAAAAGATGTTTCACAACATCTTCTGTAGGATCGGTCCAGCTTGGGAAGATGAGATCCATGATGACAACATGGCTCTTGCACCTATCTTGAAAAGATAGTCCAGAGGATACCATCCTCAATTATGCTGGGAGCTCTCAAGGGAATCTACAAAACCAGGTCAAAACAGGTAGAGTTTGGGAAACCAGAATGATCAAAGGCATTAAAATTATACACTTAAAACTGGTATGAACGAGGGTGAGCTTGCAGTAAGTGAAGCATTAAACATCAGATATGATACTCTAGCACAAGTCCATTTCACCAAATAGTGAATGACAATCTAAATTCTAGATGAGGGGAAGGAAAATCATACTTCAAATACTGGAAGAAGATGCATAGACTCAGAACAGATATTACATCTTATGAAGAAAAAGTTGAATCATATGCAAACAATCATACATGTTTGACATGTATTCCAGTCAAACACAAACACATTTCTGGAATGGGTCAAAAGAAAATGAATGAATGAAAACATGACAGTGAGTGAAATCCTTCTTTTTTTAAAAAAACCCACGGGATTTAACAATTACAGTAATTGGTTGTTCTGCCAACATATTAACAATACATTTACCAATATTTACCTAGAGAACAATTTTCTGTCTAAGCCTCCAAGTGTGGTGGAGACGCCTTCTTTGAAGGCTTTTAAACAGAGGCTGAATGGCCATCTATCAGTGGTGCTTTGAAGGCGATTTTCCTGCTTCTTGGCAGGGGGTTGGACTGGATGGCCCATGAGGTCTCTTCCAAATCTAGGATTCTATGATTCTATGAAAATGTATTTCCCTTCAACATCTCCTAGTATTTTTAATTCACTGAAAGAGCAAACCCAAATCGGTTGAAAAAATAATAATCAAATAAGGAAGAAACAGGAAGGTTCTCAGAAGCTGGAGCAGTATTACCAAGGGTAAATCCACTCCAAAACTGATTCAGTTACAAAGACAACTGTTTTATTTTTTTTATCACAGACTACAATACCTTTTGAACTGATTATTTATATGACTCACTTCTCAGATACTCTCATTCATATGTGGGTCTGGGGCATGGGTTATAGTACCTAGACTACACTTCCCCATGATTTTCCTGCTTCTTGGCAGGGGGTTGGACTGGATGGCCCATGAGGTCTCTTCCAAATCTAGGATTCTATGATTCTATGAAAATGTATTTCCCTTCAACATCTCCTAGTATTTTTAATTCACTGAAAGAGCAAACCCAAATCGGTTGAAAAAATAATAATCAAATAAGGAAGAAACAGGAAGGTTCTCAGAAGCTGGAGCAGTATTACCAAGGGTAAATCCACTCCAAAACTGATTCAGTTACAAAGACAACTGTTTTATTTTTTTTATCACAGACTACAATACCTTTTGAACTGATTATTTATATGACTCACTTCTCAGATACTCTCATTCATATGTGGGTCTGGGGCATGGGTTATAGTACCTAGACTACACTTCCCCATGAGTAATGTGAGGCAGGAGAGGAATCCTATTTCTCAGACTAAAACAGAGACATTAGTAGAGATCCCCCCCCCCTTCTCTGCTCATGTTTCCTGTTGGGAACATGAGCACTGCAGCAGGTGGGATCCCACTGTTATTTCTGATCTCCCTATTTCTGATTTCTCTCTAAACCTCCCTATGCAGCTTGCTAGGTATATTGCATATGGTGGAAACCTCCCAGCACAGAGGACAGTGGAACTTAGGAATTAGAGACTTGGCAAAAAGCATCCTAGAGTAACCCCTCATGGGTTGACTGGAATTTTACGGACCAGATCAAGGCTGCAGACAAAAGGTTGCTCCCACTGAACTATGCCATGTTTCTGACAGAGAATTCTAATCATCTGTTCAGTACTGTACTTTTTGAAAAGCTACCTGTCTTTAAGAAAGGCTAAATAAGTTTGATTACTGGATGCACTTATACTCAGTTTAGCTGCTATTTATAAAATCTCTCCAAGTGTTATTAAATCATCCTTATCTTTCTCACTAGATCAAAGGAACTCTTCGATTCAGATTAATCACTTTTAGGTATTATGCCAAGAAGGTGTGGGGTGGAATGGGAAGACCAGTGAATGTCCCATTTGACAGCTGAGTTATTCAATTTACAAACCTGGCAGAAAGGGGATGATCCTTTGCTTAGGGTCTTTCTGTCCTCCTTCCATAGGGAATTTGTCCAGCATTTGCATCTTTAAAAAAACACACACACAAGAAAAGCATACAATTAAATTAGCAAAAGCAGAAATAAACATCATGGATGCTAAAACATTACACAGAAAAATAAACAGAACTGTAGATGATACTTATTTTTGTTTACCATGGTTTTAAGAAAAGGCCAAAATGTCAAGGAGGGGAATTGCATATTAATATTCTGGAAATATCCAAGTTGATAACTGTACCCTAGGTTATGTCAGAATTATTAGTTTTGTCTCAAACAGGGATCAACAACTGTGCGTGTGTCACTTATTGTGGCAGCTTGTCAACCACCTTGTACAAGGAAAAATTAGCCCAAACCTTTTCCCCAAAATTGGGGCTAAAGAGGGGCAGGAATGAGTCTCTGCCCTCACCTCAGGCAAAAATATGATCAAATCCTGAAATTATTTGATCTCTGTGTCAGCTGGATGCAAGGGGGGACAAAAACAATCTTCAGTTTTCCATGAACCCATAGCTGGTTTCCAATATCTCCAGGGAACAATTAAATTTTCTGAAGCAATCTTATGGCCCAGTGATCCCCATATACATGTCTGATCCTGGGCTAGATAGGTAAATGGTCTGCTTCAACATAAAAGGCAAGCTAACATTTATTGACAGTCTGCCTAAGGAACTTGTGCCAGAGAAGTAGGAGAAAGTCAGTAGACACAGAAAATAAAAACGTTAAGTGTCATCTCAAGACATGTTCACTTTGAATCTTCGAAACATCTTCAGAGGTTAAAGGGAAGAGATCCTGCTCAGTTTAGACATGCTGCTTTCTTACATTATCCAAAATAACCAAAGTAACTTGGCTTGAGCCAAATCCATTGACAGACACCAAGAACAATGCCCAGTTCTCAGGCTGTCTGCACAGATATAATTTTGATTAAATGACACTAACTACACTTTATTCAGTATGTCTCTGAAGAAGGTGATAATGCAAAACGAAAACAATGACATTTAATATAGCAAGAAAAACAACAATGTCACAAAATAAAGGTAATCAATCAAACTTCAAAGTTTATTCAGTCCAATCTCTGCTACAACTTGACGTTATCAACTTCAGGAGGCCATTTTCACAAAGCAGGAAGTTCCACAACTTTGGGAATTCATTGTAGAAATTAGAAAACCTCTCCTTTAAATCACAGTCATATTCAGTAAGGCACATAAATTATCAGCTGTGCACAAGACAAATGCTGTATGAGGAAAATAGAGGAAGAAAAAAAAGAGCCACAAAGAGAGCCTGCCCACCATTGCCAGAGTGTTGTCAAGGGGATATTATGAAGAAGGGAGAAAGCAGGCAGGCAGCAATCCCAATGACACCACGGCAATGCTGGATATATATGTTAGTGTTAATGTTAGTGTGTGTGTGTGTGTGTGTGTGTGTGTGTAAAACATTATAAGAACATGTGTTGCTGCTGAAGGCTTTTCATGGCCAGAATCACTGGGTTTTTGTGAGTTTTCTGGGCTGTATGGCCATGTTCCAGAAGCATTCTATCTTGACATTTTGCCCATATGAGGTCTTCACAATCTATGAGGATGCCTGCCATAGATGTGGGTGAAACGGCAAGAGAATGCTTCTGGAGCATGGTCATACAGCCCAGAAAACTCACAGAAACCCATTATAAGAAAATATTTTCTTGTTTTCTTGCTTGACATTCAACCCTTCGTATATGGGGGCACTATTAAAAATGCAATTGAGTGCATGCACTCCTTTTTTGCCAGCTCTGGAGATAAAAGAGGCTGCTTAAACCATGTCCAAGAGTAGGTCTTAATGGAAGACAACTGTATGCAATAAAAATCAAAGGAGGGTTACTTCTTGGTTATCACTGCAGTCCACACTGGGGGCTGTCTACTTCTTTGACCACAAAACTATGAGAACTAGTCTAATCTTGCTATTTTTTAAGCCTGTAGTATGTCTTGTTCCTCATTTCCCCCACAAAGAATCATGAAACTATATTGCCATCTGTCTGCATTACAATCTAAGCGGGTCACTATTTTATGTATAAAGGATGTGAATTATTAGAAAGATGCTTCCTGTCTGTGAAGACCATTAACATTTATGTCAGACACAGGCTAAGTAATATAGTATCAGTCATCAATGCATTTGCCAAAGATGATACGAGATATTATGATGTCTCCTGAACTGAAAGAATGGGATCCATGTGGAAATGAAGGGAAGGAAATGGAAGAAAGATACTGAACTACCATTCATGGCTACATGTCACTGAGTTTTTATTTAAGGGATGGAAGGAGGCTATTTTGCTTTTCATCATGCATAACCATCTTAATTCTTTTTCTGTGTGCTGGCTTTCTTAGAATGAAACCCTGACAGTAGAAACTGGCAACTCTGACTGATGTATCCCTATTATTCAACAGCAGGAAGAAAATTACCAGCCCTGTAACTTTGTGGTAGTTTAAGTTTCAAAAGAACATAATGAAGAAAAGGTGCCTACCATTCTAAACCATCAGCACTTAGGAATCTGACTGCTCAAACTAGGCCTTTTGCCTCTGTAAACCATGCCTACCAATCAATTGTTAAACCAACTCTCCATTTTTAGAGAAGTCGTGATCACTCTGCATACTAGAGCTCTGGTTCCATACACAATATTGCCACTCTGCACACTGGAGCTTCTGATTCATGTAAACCCTTGCCAATCTACATACCAATCCTCCAATTCTAGACAAAACCTTTAGTGCTAACTGCTCTCATTTCATTTCCAGCCCTTCTCAGGCGTTCAACAGATCCTTATCTTTAACCTGCAATCACTGACCAGAGATAAGGGTAGAGAAATAATGAAGTAGAAAGTCAAAACTCACTAGTCATCATTATGCCAAAACAAATTAATGGATATGGGTCTGATTAAGTTAAAAGAAAACAGTGAGGCAGTTACTACCTTTTAAATAAATTAAGAAGATAAATAACTGTTGACATTTTATTCCTAAGCTCTTTATGCCATTATGCACCTATTACAGAAAAGGATGGTACGTAAAGTAAGGGGAGACATCATACTAGCATATATATCTGGTATTAGCTGGGTGTCAGAGGGACCACTGCTCCCCTGCTTTCATTGCTTTCCTCTTTCTCTTTCTTTCCTTTCCTTCCTGTCCTGCATTCATTTTTCTATTTTCTTTCCCTTATTTCTCTCTTTCTTTCCTTTCTTGCTCCTTTCCCCTCATATACATGTCACCATTCTTTCCCAGTGGCATTAAAAATGTCCACTTCACCTATCAACAGCCAATCCTTCACTTAGCAGCCAATACCTATCAACAGTCTTTGTGGTATAAGCAGACACACACACACTTTACCTTTTATATATGTACATAGAAGATGGATGTAGAGGATGTGGTAAGTTGCATAAAACATGATAAGAACAAACTTCAATTTGTGAAGCTAAGAAGGGCGATTCAGTGCAGATAAAAGGAAGTACTCTTTCATACTGTGCAGAATTAAAACTGGATTTTGTTAATATGAAGTGGTACCATGTCTGCGAACTGTGATGGAATTGGAAGATGGAAGATACCCATTTTTAATATAACACATATTAAATCTCTATGCATCACTTGCTAAGAAAGTGCAAGCAGGGGTGTGCAGGTAAATTCTTGCTTGTGGGTTTTCCACTGACAACTGACTGGCCTTTGTGGAAAGAATGCTGGACAAAATAGGCCCTTTGTTTGACTCAGTAAGGGTCTCCTTACATTCTTATATGACAGGCAAGATCAGCCATAACAATATAGTGATGATGAGAACCAGCCACAAAATATAGTGGTTTACTTATATGCTTGAGAGTAAGATTACAAATTTTAAGAGGATTCTGATTTTCCCTCATCTGCTAACAGTATAATAAAATGCAGTTCATCCTTTCCCCTTCTTTAGACTTTTCTCCAGGAAGACAAAGAAGAAAGCTGTCACCCAGATGCATTTTCCAACTTTTAAGCTGCCTAGAGTTGGCCTCAGATCCAAGGTAAAAGCCAACTCCTCTCCTGCCAGCTGTGCCATTACATTTTTACATTATTTCAAATCCTCCTCTAGTCTTCTCTTGGAGCTGGCAGAGTATCCCATCAGGGAGAACCCACCAATCTCTGACCTAAAGGCTAGAGCCTCCAGCCACTCGCTCTTGTCTCCGTATAATACAAAACACCTGTGGCAGCTCAAGTCAAAGGGGAAATTTGTTTTGCTTGGACTGGATTATTAGCTTTTCTTCAGCCACAAATGAATGTTTTAAACGCTGACACACAGACAAAGTCTGACTCCATGAAGTCCGCCTGTCCGGTTTACTCCTTCCTTCTACAAATAAATGGTAGGGATTGGGGAGTGGGGAGGCTCTCCTTGGCCTAATTGAGAGAATCAGAAGTGTGTGGCCTTCCAAGACCCCATAGGAATTAATGCCCCCCAACCTCTTGGCAGCTGCCCCTCCCTGAATTATGTGCTTAACTTTTATTTTTATGTTCTTTATTTATTTAACCTTTAAACCAAGCCTTAGAGAATCCCAGAAGAAGTTTCAGCATGCAAAGCACAGCTCATTGTTTTGTATTTAAAGCTTACATGGCCCACTTCTTTGAATTGCTTAAATTTTAATAGGTAAGGAACAGTTACCTTTCAACTGATCCTATCTCTGATTAAATACAATGATGGGCTTCTCTACTGCACTGAGCTGACCAGCCAAGATGCAGGAAAGGTGAGGGACACACAACCACAGAGAAGTGTTAAAGTTATCAAAACTAGTAATCTTCTATGTAGTATATAGATACGGGCATTTTTTTCTCCTAGATTTATCAATGGCAACCACTAGATGATACAACAGTTGGTATCACATCACTAAAGGTACCAGAGTTTGAACACTCACAAATGTGTGTGGAGTATCCAAAATTATTTTCTTATATTCTTCTGTGACTGAAGATGCAGTTGCAGAAGCACTGTCAGAATGATCGCACAATATCCTCCTACAACCTCTTTCATAGAAAAAAGAGGAGGCCTTTACAGAAGTATGAGGATTGA